ACGCGTGCTACAACTGCGCGCTCACATCCGTATCCCGCGTGATACCGGTTTCGCTTACAGATCTTGAGGAAGCATGGCCAAGAGAAGCGGTGAGTGGGCTCTCCAAGTCGAGAAAACAAAAGGAGAAAAAAACCAGACTCACCGGTCGACGACGATGCAGAAGCGCCACAACGGAGAAACCCGCGCTACAGTTCACAACATCCCTCGCGCAATTGTTAGAGGAACCCCGCCCCAGCGCACATCCAGATCGAGCGGTTCTAGGACACTTGTCGTGAAGGTGCACACTCGCTCGTCCTTGCGATAAAGAAAAACTTGATTAGCTCGAATCTAAACTGCAGAGAGAACCCATATGCTTACCCAGCGATCCTATTCGACGCATACGATGCCCACGGTGTCGTTTATGACGCGGAACGAACGCTGCATGGTCTGGCGACGGAACATCCAGAGCTTCGCTGCACCGAGTTGGAATATGAAGATGCGGGGCCGGCGACCGCTGCCGTGCATGTCGCGGAGGGTCTTGGCCGCAAGCTCGAAGGTCGAGGGCCGCGGGGCGACAACCGCTGCTGCGTGCGTCGTCCCGCTTCGCCGCAGTCGGTGGTGTTCCGCGTTGCCATGGGTTCGCCCCTGTAGATTGGGGGATGCGCCCTTGAGCCTCAATGAAGCCACGCGCACTAACCAGAGCAATCGCAGGGGACGCAGAGCGGTGGGCGAGCGGAGAATGGACGTTGGCGGCGGCACGCGTATAAAAGATATTTGAAGGGCGAAGGCGGCGGAGATGTGCAACCAAGAGCGGGGGGGTTGTAGAAGGGCGAGGCGCGAAACGAGGGCTACGACGGCGCTGTTGACGGGCCGACAGGAGGGAGAGGTCGGTCCCGTATGTCGCTAAACCGCAAACGTGGGGTCCACGCGTTTCAAGGCTTCAGACAGGGGGATCGGCGGGTGGCGTCGAGTGCGTCACGCGCTGCGAGTTGCACCATGCACTGCATTCCGAGCCCCGGTAGGCAAGGCCGGTTTACGTGAGTCGACGTGAATCTACGTCGGCCGACCCCAGTAGGCCGAGGTCATGTAGGCCAAATTGGGCCTACATTGGCCTACCGTCTGCCTACGCAGGCCCCCTAAAATGGTCACCGTGCGTTGTGATGCTGTTACCGCGCTCCTACGTGACTAATATTACTTTTCACCCGTTGCCATGTTCCCACGTAGCCAACACTTCATTAATTGATCACTCTGGGACATGCCGTGTCGATTGCCGTAAGTTGGCTGTGAGTGCGCCAAAAATTGACAGCTGTGGGCTGTGGCATTAAATATAACCGCACTCCCACGTTCAGTAGTTGCGCCGCGAAGGAAGACCGTGTTTTAATGAGTGTTGGAGCAGAAACAGAGCTCGGAACATGGCCAAATGGTTGAGTTACCTGAGAGGTGGGTCTACCCCTGCCTACGGGCGTAGGCAGACCCTGTGCCTACGACCCCACGGAATGCAGTAATGGGCGCAGTGCCGCGTCGGATGGGAAGTACGGCGAGGGATTCGGGGGAAGAGCATCCGTGCTGCAAAGGGGTTTAGTCGAGCATCGCGGCGTGCATGGCCTAGGACACGCACCACTACATCTCTGTAAAGAACCTCCCAAAGTCCTACGGAATTCGCGCCCTTGCACAGGACTCGCGCCCAAACAGTGTTCTGTGGATGTAGTCTTAGGTAAAGAGTCGTTTTGATGCCAGAGAAGCCCCCGAGGGACCCAGGTGAGATACAGGCGAGAGACCAAAAGGAGACGGGGAGACAAGACCGAATTGGCGTGCATGGGGTTAGTACAGAGCCCAAAACAAGCGCCGCCGCCCGCCATTAGGGAGTAGAGCGAAGAGACACGAGAGCAAGATGGGTGTCCACGAGCCAAGTGGAAAAGTGGCATGGCCACAAAATCCAAAGGTCGGTGACATCAAAATCTGATGGTTTGGGGTAATGGACAGCGGCGAGAAGGGAGTTAATTAGAGAAAATCAAGATATACCTCTCCAAATGTAATGAAGAAGACCTATGCCAAGATTCAGGTCTCTCGCGTGCATGGTTCGTGTGATATGAGGGTGGCCCGGCTGAGCCCGCCAAGACGACGCTCATGTCTTCTTTGAGGGCCTACACAGCTGTATCCTATGAATTCGTGTCACTTGATATCACATATTCATGCCCCGCATCCGAGGAGCACAACAAGCCCAGAAAGTTGTGGAATGGCGAAGAATTGGTGGAGAACGAGCGGTTGCGAGGATATACAAGATGGAGTGCGCACATGGATTTGATGTGCGGCACATAGAGATGATTTGCGGCACATTGCGCAAACGCGACACATTCCCATTTTGGCTATGTGCCGCACTTGACGTAAGCTCGGATCACCGTAGCACGTGCCAACGGGTGCAACAAACGTCCCTCTTCCTCTTACCACCACCACCCCGGACCAGCCCCCTCGCAGCTACCGACCTCACAGGTGATCCCCATGCGCGCGCCGCGCCATGAGGATCCTCCCCCTCGAATGCCCCACGGGTTTGCTGCTAGCGTGCGGAGAAGGTGTGTCGGCTGCGCGGCTGACGGGCGCCTTCATAGCAATGCAGCAGCGTGAGGGGAAGACACAGCGGCAGGTACCCACCCACCCCCCGCTTTGCCTGCTAGCTCCGTTTTTTCAGCTTCCTCCAACCACGCACGTGCTGCGCGAACGAGGAGCTGCCTGCGTATCGGGACAGGTGGATGCGGTGTGCTCAGGCGCATCCCAAGTCCCCGACGTACGCGCAGAGGCGCACCAGTATGTGCCTGCTCTTCTGTCCCCCCTTCCCTCACTTCCGCCCGCACCACTTTGTCCTTGAACAAGTGTTCGCGCTAGTGAGGAACGGCGGGAGTTGCGTGTGTCTGTGCTGCACCACGTTGTGTGGTGCGTGCACGTGGCTTGCTACCTTGCTGTGAGGCGCGAGGGGGCTGCCAGCGCCGCGTGGTGCGTCATGGTGTGCCGCGTTCCCCGTACTCGCACGCTGCGGAACAGGGCGGGCACTGAGTTGTCGCATCGGAGGGCAGCGCGACCGGGTAGCGGCCCGCAGAGAGCTCTCATGACCGACCACGCCTTACTCGCTCAGTGTGGTCAGGTGCTGCCGCCACAGCGGAAGCCGCCCCGAGGACATGAGGGCCATATAGCTACTAGCCTGGTGCTTATAATGTATCATTCACTGAAATTATATTGCTACTTGAATGATTACTCCCTGTATCTTACACTTATCAAAAATTGTGACTCCAGTGTGGGCTAAGGTGCTTATGACTTGAGCGAGATGCTTAATTATAATTAGATCGATATGTCGCACTCCAGTCGAAGTGCGGCACATAGCTACAACCGGAATGTGTCGCGTTTGCGCGATGTGTCGCAAATGATCTCTATGTGTCGCACATCAAATCTATGTGCGCACTCCATCTCGTCCATCCCGAGCGGTTGCTGTCTTCGGCTACTCTTGATTGGTACGGAATTGATGTTCCCACCGTTCGGACCTTGGTCCGACATGCCATAACTTTCCATCAAGCCATCACTTCGGCTTGAAATTTGGTGCAGACCTGCGTCAGAAGTTGTGCTCCGTCCCCCCAACGCAAACTCTAAGAATTCTCAAGTTATTTGCCATATATTTGCAAGTGGCCCACTACCCCGGGTGGCCCGGTACCTAGTCACTGATAGTAGTTGGTGCGCTCTGCCTGTTTCTCCTTCACAGCGTAGTCTCAATCCACCGAGTCAGATACATCCCTTCCCTCCGTTAGAGCTCGACGCCTCCTGCGTTACTGCCTACGAAACGAATCGACATGAGCGACAGGATTGGGACTTAGCCATTCGCATGTATCCGCCTGTAATACACCCTCTATCGACCGGCAGGCTAGCCACACACCATCCACAATCTCGCGGCTTCTTCTGTGACGGAATATGAGTGTGGACCGATGGCTCTGTGGCTGTCCGCTTCAATTGGCTCTTCGTTATTCACAGAGATGATCATCTCCCTCTCCCCCGTCCCTTTCGAGTCTCAGCTAACCACCACGTAGACAGTTGCTGGACCCAAAGTGTCTCTTAATGTCCCATCCACTGTCTCCTGCCATCGATGTCTTCTCCGCGTCGCTGCCTCCGACGACCACTGTTCCTCCAGCGCCTCAAATGCCTTGGCGGCGTCTTGCTCGGGAATGTGTGCGTTGCTGCTACAGCCAGCGGCCCACAGAGCAACACGAGAAGATGCCAGGCAAGGTCAGTGTGGATATCTCCCTCTCTTCGTTTGCCTCGTTCTGCTTTCAGGGACAGTTCTGCAGAATGTATGGCTTTGTAACGCACCGGTCTGACCATGCACATACCTGTTCCCTCCCATGGATCTCCTTCATCTCCCGACTCCTATGTATCCTGGGCGGCCTTTAGCCTGCTAAAGGGTGGCTGTACCCCCCGGAGAAACTCGGGTGGCTGTACCCTATTAAGTTGCCACTTTGTTCTGTGGTACAAAACTTGGGGCTGTGTCTTGGGCATAGCCACCCATTTTGTACCACAGAACAGAGCAGTCACTTAATTAGGCGGTAGATAGAATGTAAACAATGTGTGGTGCACCATGAGTATGGACATGCAAAAACATTGGTCTAAACTGGCATATATAATTGTATCGTATGTGAAAATGTCATCCTGGAAGGGAGTGGTATTGGTTTGACTTGGTGTGTATTGTCTGAAAATACTGTCCCAAAAGTGCCCAGTATTGAGAGCACAACAACTTTATATAACACACCAAACCGTGATTACGCCCCTTGCCAGCTGAAATGCAAACTTGGATCATAACCCATTTTGGGGTGCTGAAAGGTGATTTTTGCGGACATTTAGAGATGGATTATAGCTCATTTATTTAATGGGTGATGTTCCTTGAGTTACAGTAAAGACATTGAGGGAATAAAAAAGGCTGCACCATAATTGGACCTGGGCCATCCACAGAATGTGGTGTGCAGCAGTTACTTCTCATATTGAATGACAGTTGCTTAGCTCAGTGGTTAGAGAAACTGTGGTGCAATCACACAAAGGTCCTGGGTTTGATCCCCAGAGCCACCATTCTTTTCCCATTTCTCACAGGCAATAGCTTTATATAACATACCAGTCAGTTTAAATAAACTTGTAAATAAACCCGAACGCGCACGACCTAGGGTTAGAGTTAGATTTAGACTAGGGTAGAGTTGGAGTTACACATCAGTGGGCCTAAATAAACACAGTAGAACTAGGGTTAGAGTTAGAGTTACATAATAGTGAGCGTAAATAAACACGCAATTGCGATGCGAAAACCCATATTCCATGGATTCCTGATTTTCAGACGAAAAAACCATATTCCATAGGGTTCAAAGGAAACCAGTCGTTTCTGTTCGCGGATTAGCACCAGTCGGTCTAAATAAATGTGCAATTACCTGGCTAGCCTGCCAAAAAGCCAGATTCTGTCAAAAAAGCCAGATTCTGTCAAACAAGCCAGAGTCCACCCAAATACCCAGCAATGTGCTGCCAAAATGCCACATTCCACTGGATCCTCCATCACAATTCCCAGTTTGACGCACCAAAATCCCAAATTCCCCTGGATCCAGGCAAATATATATATATATAACTAGGGTTATGCGCTAAATAAACAGAACCTGGCCCCAGGTTCCAGGATCAGATACATAGGAGTCTCCAGAACATCTCGAGTGGGAGAGATCAATGGAAGTTGAGCTCAATAGTATCAGTGCTCTGGGTACTTATGAACTTGTCCCAGTTCCTGCTGGTGTCACTCTTCTCGGTTCGCTTTGGGTCTTTGCTATCAAGCATGATGCCTCGGGGATTGTTACCAGATACAAAGCTCGTCTTTGCGTCATGGGTAACCCCAACATCCAGGAATCAATTTCCGATTTCCTTTGCTCCCGTTGTTGAAACGGAGTTGCCTTGATTTCTCATAACCCTAGCTGCAAACTGGATTGGGAATTTCATCTCATTGATGTTGACTCTGCTTTCTCAACAGCGAGACAGATCCTGACCATCCAATCTATGTGTGTCAGCCTCTGGGTCATGTCGTTCGTGGAAAGGAAGATCATGTTTGGCTCCCACGTAAAGTGCTATACAGACGCAAGCAGTAAGCTTATCTCTGGTACCGCAAGCTTCATTCTATCTTGGTCAAGCTTGGTTTCCGTGTCTACTTGGCTGATCCATGTGTCTTTATCCGTTGAGTGGCTAAAGCTACCTCCATCGTCAGTGCTCATGTCGACAATCTTGGTTTATACTGCAGTTCTGTCCAAGAAGTCCAACTTCTGAAGAAGCAGATTGCCAAGCACGTTCCGATAAAGGACGTGGGAGAGCCAAAGTCCATTCTTGGTGTCAAGATCATCCGTGACCACGCTAAACACACCATTTCCTTGTCGCATCGATTTTATATTGACTCGATTGTGACGCAGTACAGGCAGCAGGATGCAAAACCTGTTTATTCACCAGTCAACACATCAGCTGCTCCACCCTCCAAGTCTCAGTGACCAAAGACTCCGGAGGAGCACAAGCACATGGCTAACATCCCCTACCAGACCCGATCGAAAAATGTGGCTTGGTGTCTGGGTGATGCTTTTCAAAATGCAGCACCTTGTTGATAGCCAGGGCAATTCTAAACAGTTTAGCCTGTGAGAACATCGAAATCTGGTCCGTTTTGTGCTCTCTGTGAGCAAAACAAGGTGCTGCATTTCCAAAAGCGTGACCTGGACACCAAACCTCATTTTTCGATCGGTTCTGGTCCCAGTGATCGTCTGAGTGCCTTGTTTTACTCTCAAAACTGCCATTTTTTTGGCTCCTGTACTATGTCAGGGGAGAAAAGGGGGAATTCAAGTTTTGTCAAGTGGCAGAGAGAGAGAAGAGATTTGAGAGGGAGACCAGGCCTATTTGGGGCAAGGACACGTGGAAAGAGTGAATCACACTCTCATCACCAAAATGGAGACCACTCGGGATCTCTGGAGGAAAAGAGCCAGTGATTGGTGCCATATGGTTGAGGCGACTAATGCTGGAATAATAGAAGGTTGGTGAAAGATCGAAACCGGTTTGAAACCAGTTGTAACAGTCTTGTCCGAGGAAAGAATGAGCGGTGCAATAGTAGTGCCGGTAGGTAGGCGCTTCTGGACTTCCGTCAGTTACGTACGACATTGACGTGTTCGAACACTTTACCGGCATCTCCCACCACCACTGGGCTGTCCACATCTCGTTGATGACTTGCTCATTCTCCAGCGCATCCGATTACAATTTTTCCGGTGCGAACTTCATAGCATTGCGGAAGGTGGGATTGCCGATCAATTCCCGCACGCATTCCACAGGATCTTGCTGCCACCACAACTCCAGTTTCTCAGACCACATCGTGGCCCCTGTTGAATCCCTGTCAATATCGGGCAAGTCGCCCTCGACATCCAGCTTTTGACACTGCCATTTAAAACCACCGGGCAGATCATCCACCCTCTTGAAGAAATCTTTTTTGCCTGTGTACGAAGGCTTCGTGCGCTGAGAAATCTGGAGAATTTCGAGCGGAATGCGGGCAAAATTCCACCTACAATCGAGAGATTCAGAAACTCATCGGGCGCTGTGTGCCCGACATGTTTAATCAGCCACTTCACCAGCTGCCATTCATCATCGTCCTTGAATGGTCCCAAAACTTCCGCACCCTGCAAGATTTCCTCGTCGCGGATGATCTCGAACGCTGTCTTTCCCTGCCCAAATGTTGCACCAACAGGGCCCGGAAATGGCTCCTTCCACTGTGGGTGCTTGGTAGAGTCGGCATCTTTTTGTTCAGGTAGCGCTGCATCGGGATCCCCGGCCTGAGATTCACCTCTGGGACCTTCAGGATCCAGCGCTGGAATTCCGGTCCCACCGTCGACAGTGAGAGGATCATCTTCAAAAGACGTCCCATGGATGCCATGCTTGGTACATTTTTTGCTGCTTCTCTCTTCGATTTTGCATCGGCCTGCAAACGAGCCAACACGAGCGCATATTTTTCGGCTTTTTTCTTTTTACATTCCGGGCTCAGAGTCTGATGAGGGAGGCAGTGCTGTGAGGACCGTATTCTATCCGGTCCGAATCCAACGGCAATTCCCGGGACAGAACACTTGCAGCCAAACACAAATTCGTGGGATATTCGCTGGGCCACCTTTTGGGTCGTGCTCCCACGAAATGGATAGCCCTGCTTAATGTGAAGCTTTTTGTGTCCTCCAAATTTTTGTAGGATGCTCGAGAGATTTGCGCATCAGAAGTATTGGGACGTACCTGAGCACCCAACTCTATTCCAAGATGCTGGTAGTGCCTCCAAAAAATCTGACTGTTTGTGAGACCAAAATTGGGTGGTTTGAGATAATGGCCTGCAGAGCTATCAGAGGTGAATGGATAAAATCTCGAAATACCTCTCAGAATGAAGGATTGGATAGTAAAAAGCACTCTGTAAGGTTTTAGACCGATAGCATCGCGGTATTGTGTACCACGATGGTGGCCAGCATGGCTGACCCAACAAGGCAGTCGTGCTTTCCTGATTGCATCAAGGAGAGTAGTGACGGCCATTGCCATCTAGGAGCATCACAGACAGAGGCCCCGCTCAGAGTCTGAAAAACAAGAGCAGAAAGTGAAGCATACATATATCTCTTCCCATTCTTCGGTGTCGAACTCTGAAAAATCACCAGTGTGAGACAAATATTGGAGAAACATTCTCTGGAGCTCGTGCTCCTTCTCTTTCCACGTCACCAGAGGGTCTGAGTTATTGGGACGGCTCTTCATCCAACGGTACATCTGCTCATTCCGACGTGAACAGAATTCAACTGAAACATTTTGAGGACGTACAGAAATAATGAGCTTTGAGCATTTGAGATGACTCAGGCCAGTGTTGGTCCCAAAGCAAGAGAGCATCTCAAAGGGATTGAGGATTAATGTGAGTACGAAAACAGGCTGATCATAGTCGCTCCAGTGTTTTTCCAAACACTTGAGCATTGCGGCGCTAACATTGGGATCCGGATGATTGACGAAGCACAAGTATATGCCAGCGAGAGTGAGGAGAACTTGATCAGGCTGCGTGGAATCCTTTTGGTTGATGTTCGTTCTGAGACAGATTGGCTCAAGATCTCCCAGGACAGTTTCAAGACCGTTCCAGAATCAGGCATCTTCAATCTTGTCGCAGAAATTAGTCACTTCCTCCTCCAAGCGTTGCCGCTCAGTAGAGACCGCTTTGCCGACTTCTGCTGCAATAATGGCTGACCGCTTTTGGAGTACGGCGAGCTGGAGACCCTGGCGCAGCGCAAAAAGACGCGCAAATGCAACGAAATGTGTTGTCCAGCATGTGACAAGATACGCAAGAATTATGATCTTGCCTGCACGGTCTGCACTAATAGTCGCCTGAGATTCGTCGAAGATCTTGCGGACTTTACCATGGTTGTTAATCCATCCGATAAACACAGTGGCCTCTTCGGTGATTAGGGCAGCCATGTCATTGACTTTAAAATAGTCGCCCAAGATCAACTGAAACTGTAGGGCTCGTCAGATCTTTATTTAAGAACGAAAGAAAATAAATATCCAACCTGGTGCGCCCAACAAGAGGGCAAAATTAACCAAGGCCACTTCCGACCCAGCAGGGTGCGCCCTTTTTTGCTACCGCCATTGGCGTCTGTCGTGAAATATACCACAATACGATTATAGTGGACCTCAACGTGATCAATCATCCCTGCAAATTGTTCGCAGAGAGATGGTCCATCTTTCTGCAATGCGGTGACTTCAACAAGCTCGAGAAGGTATGCCTGTTATCAGCTTTTCAGTATTGTTTTTCAAAGATTTAGGAAGACACACCTTGAAATCTATGTTCGCACAGATTGTGTTGACTGAGTCCTTCGTTTTAGACTTCCTTCCATCGGTTCTGGGAGCACAAAAAGTCAGGAGAGCAACAAATACAGTGAAAGAGGTACTTACGAGAGTCCGAGCTGCTTATCCTTCATGACCTTTTTAATCTTCAGCTCGACATTCTCCGCTGCCTCGTTAAGTAGTCGTCCGCTAAGAACCTTGCCCGATGGGATGATGTCAGGAGCCGTGGTGCG